ATTGATTGATTGAGCTTATATGCCACCCATTTAGACATAGTCTACTCTGGGCGGCTCACAAAACACGTAATAAAACCAATTAATATAAAATAACAGTTTCCAACATTAACACAAAACAGAATAGATAAAGATAAAGAGAGAAAATTTCCATATAACCAGATCTTGAGTTGGTTTTTGAAAATGCCCAACGAGGGGACCTGATGAATTTCGAGGGGGGAGCATGTTCCAGAGTCTGGGAGCCACTGCTGAGAAGGTCTGGAGTCTTGTTTTTTCTTTCTGGGCCTCCACCAGCATTAGGCTCCTCAGTCGCCCCTCCTGGCTAGATCGGGTGATACGAGTAGATCTAGGTGGGAGGAGGCGTTCCGCCAAGTATTGAGGTCCTAAACTATTTAGGGCTTTGTATGTGATCATTAGAAATTTGAAATCAACGTGGAATCGAATGGGCAGCCAATGCAATGTGGCCAGAGTGGGAGTAATATGTTAATGTTTCTTCACCCCACTAAGAAGTCTGGCCACTGCATTCTGCACCATTTGTAGTTTCCGCATTAATTTCAAAGGTAGTCCCACATAGAGCACATTCCAGTGGTCTAATCTCGAGATTACTAGCGCATGGACCAAGGTAGTGAGTGCACCAACATCAGGAAAGGGGCGCAGCTGGGCAATCTGCCAAAGATGGAAATAGGTGGAGCAGACCACTGACGCCACCTGAGTTTCCATGGTGAGCACCAGGTCCAGATGTTTCCCCAAGCTGCAAACCTCATTCTTAGCAGTGAGAGTCACCCCACCCAATAGAGAGGGAGTTTCCCAAACCACTGACAGCGGGCCCACCATCCACCCTCAGGCCCTCCGTCTTGTCCAGGTTCAGCCTCAGCCCATTTTCCTGCATCCATTCCAGTACAGACCCCAGACAGCGCTGCAGGGACAGAACAGCATCCTCTGTAGTTGGAAAAAAGGAGATGTAGAGCTGAGTGACATCAGCATACTGATGGCATGATGCTCCACACCCCCTGATGACCCCACTCAGCAGCCTCATATAGATGTTAAACAGCATTGGGGAGAGGGTAGAGCACTGCGGAACTCCAGAAAGGTGAGATAAAAACATTTTAAATAAATAAATAAAATTAAGATGGGACAGAAAATGCTATACACACACACAAATATTCAGAGGAAACACATACACACACATCCTCCATATATATATGTCATACACATGGTCGGAAAACATAAATTAACAAGATACAGTAAGAGTAACAAGAGATTTAATAATGTCATGGTTGGTGTTGAGAGTCCACACTGTAGGTAGTGTTGTGTCTGGCCATCAGTGGTATTTTATACAGTCCAGAATAAAAAAGGAAATGTTCTGAGGATTATAGCCACATGAATTCATAACATCAGCCAGAGATAACCACCAGAATATGAACTTATGTTCACCAGGGAAAAACATTAATCTATTAGTTTGGCACAATCGGCTATTTCTATAATGCAAATGAATCAAATTATAAATCCTAATCTGAGAGAAAGGGAGAATGAATTTACAGTTGCCCAGGCTGTAACCATAGTAGCCATCCATTCCATGCTGATTCAGAATTGAAGCCAGCTCACATTTCTGAAACTCTTTGGCTTCATTCACTGCAACAAGGAGGCAGAGAAGGGTGACGGCCAGAAGAGCTTTCATGGCTACAGTTCTCTGAAAGATGGTGTGTGGACTCCTTCAGATCGCAATTGGCTTTTATAGCCCCCACATTTGCCTCTGGCTACATGCCAAACAGAATATTGATTGTGAAGCAGAATATTTAGCAATGGTTTCAAAGACAGAGAGGGGGAGAGAGAATTAGAAAGAGAGAAAGGCATGTTACAATTCTGGATCAACTGGTGCTATGACTACTTTGGACAATTGAATAAGGAAATAACAGCTGGGACAAAAAAAGCAACTTAAGAATGTCCCCTCACCGAATTTTAATTATCACTTTCCGCTGAATAAGAATTTATCTGTGAGTTGGCTTGGTTCCTTTCACTGGGAGAAAGGTAGCATAGAAATAAAATAAGGAAATAAATAAAATAAATAAATTGAAATACGGACATAAAAATTCCAACCAATTAAGAAGTATCCTATGATGAACAACCTTCAGTTCTAGAGGTGAAGTGAAAGCTGCTGTGCAAGAACTAGCAAGAAATAAATCACCAAGGATGGACAGAATACCAATAGAACTGTTTCAAGCCACAAAGACTGAATCTGTCATAATCCTAATAAGAATATGACAACAAATATGGAAAACAAAGCAATGGCCCACAGATTATTCAATATAAATTCCAATCCCCCAAAAAAGGAGAAGCCAAGGAGTGCAGTAACTATAGGGCAATTGCTTTAATTTCCCATGCAAGCAAAATTACAACCTATTACAAAGTATTACAACAAAGTCTTTTATCTTATATGGATCGAGAAATGCTTGATGTTCAAGCTGAATTATGAAAAGGAATAATCACTCAAGATCATATTGCAGATATCTGTTGCGTACTGGAGCACACCAATAAATTTCAGAAGATCAATCTATGTTTTATAGACTACAGTGAAGCTTTTGACTGTGCAGATCATGAGAAACTATGGATTGTTCTGAAAGAAATGGGTGTAACTTAGCACTTGAATGTCCTGATGTAGAACTGTCTATCATGGACAAGAACTTACTGTTAGGACAGTACATGGAAAGACAGAATCATTTCCTATAGGCAAAGGTGTCAGAGAAGGGAACATTTTATCTCCTTGATTTGTTCAATCTGTATGCAGAACATATCATATGGAAAGCTGGACTAGATTCAGATGAAGGAGGAGTGAAAACTGGCAGAAGAGACATCAGTAATTTAAGATATACAGACAACATTCTCTTACTGTCAGAAAGCAGCAATGACTTGAAAGGGCTTTTAGGGAAAGGAAAAGAAGAAAGTGCCAAAGTGGGACTGCAGTTGAATATTAGGAAGGCAAAAATCATGACTATGAAAGAACTACACAACTTTAGTATTGACAATGAAGAAATTGAAATAATTAGAGATTTTGTATACCTTGGGTCAACCATCAATCCAAATGTAGAGTGCAACCAAGAACTCAGAAGGAGACCGATACTTAGAAGGGCAGCAATGAAGGGTCTAGAAAAGATCCTCAAGTGTAAGGATGTGTCATTGGAGACCAAGACCAAGATTGTCCACACTCTCTAGTTCTGATCAGCATGCATGGGTGTGAACGCTGGACAATAAAGAAAGCTGTCAGGGGAAAAATTGATTCATTTGAAATATGGTGCTGGAGGTGAGCTTTGCGGATACCCTGGACCACCAGAAAGACAAACAAATGGTTCCTGGGCCAAATCAAGCCTGATCTATCCTTAAAGGCAAAAATGTTAAAACTGAAACTGTCCTACTTTGGGCACATCAGGAGAAGGCATGATTCTCCAGAAAAGACAATAATTCAGGAAAAGGTGGAGGGCAGCAGGAAAAGAGGAAGACCAAATATGAGATAGATTTACTCCCTAAAGGAACCACAGGCTTAAGTTTTCAAGAACTGCGCAGTGCAATTGAGCAATTGATCTCTCATTCATAGGGTTGCCACAAGTCAGGGGTGAGTTGATGGTAGAGAACAACACGAAGAAGTATCTACGCTGAATCACTACCCAACACATAGGAAAAGAGGAGAAGTTAATAAACAAAAACAAGGCACCATTTCCACTGACAAGAGTGACAGAGAAGCAACTCCATTTTAAAAATCTGAAGGATTCCTATCTCCCTGTCCTCCACTTCAAATGCTCCCTAAAGCAACAGACCTTGAAAGACCAAGGGTGAGAGGACCCAAGAAACGTTATTTGGGAGAGAAGGCGATAGTCCAGATGCTGAGGTCCTGCAGTTCCAGGCAGGACCTTTTACCTTCCATGCATAACTGTGTGGTGCACATAAAACAGGGATCAGCTGGTGGGTATCCCGAAGAACAAGGGTAGGCAGCTTGTGGCTCTCTAGGGATTGTTTGATTTCAACACCCAGTATCCTGTATTACTGGCTATGGTAGTTGGGGCTCATGGAACCTGAAGTCCAGCAACACTCAAAGGGCCACAAGTTGTGTGGTTTATCTTACTGAGCAGCCAGATTCAAAAGGTGAAGACATCCTTTCAGATTATCCTTTTCACTACCATTTGGGATGTCAAAGACCATTGTAATTGGGACTTGACTCCCACGGGATTGCCAATGGAGTTGCACCTTGCTGTTGTGTTCTGAATATCTACTCAACATTTTTGCAGTGGTGAAACATATTTTGTCCGTCTAATCTCGATGTTACCGAGGCATGAGAAGTCTGCCAAATGAATGAATGGTCAACTGAGGATTATACCTCATGCACCTGAAGGGAACTCCAGTTAGCAAAAGCTTATGGTATAATAAATATGTTGGTGGTTTTATTAATAATTGGAACCCCGGTGCCCATCTCATTTCAAAGCCAAACAGTTATTTTCATGTATCTCTTATCTGACTTTAATTTCAACTGGCATCGCAGAAGCCATTGTAACTGCAAAAAGAAGTCGGGAGGGG